AATTTTTGTAGTTAAATTATACTATAACATAAGCTTTTCATGCTTAAATTCTTGATACAAGCAAAAATTAATGCAATTATTACTAATTTTTACTATTCTTCTAGCTACTATAATGGTAATCCGTGCACCCTCACCTTATTACGGGGCTCTTGCGACTGCATGGCTTGCACTTCTAGCCTCTATTCTTATACTTAGTATAAACGTGATCTTCCCAGCAATTATTTTGATATTAATTTATTTGGGGGGAATACTAGTCGTTTTTATTTATAGAACAGCCTATTCAGCAGACCTAATACCATTGCCAGTTAGTATAACTACAACAATCCTAACCGCTGCACTTGGGACAATTCTAATCATTATAATTATAATACCCTCTATTGAGACCTTTTGTGAAACTAAAACCTGATTATTATATTCATCAGAACCTAGTTATTTATTATACGATATTTATGAACGCGGGACAGCGACATTTATTTTTGCAACAGTAATTCTCACAGTACTTCTATTCTCTATCCTAGAGCTTGTCTCGCACCGGCAAACAGCAACAAAATGATTTATTCATCCCGCCAATTAGACGGACCCTCAGATTGGAAGTCTAAAATAATTTTTTTACTAAATGAATATGTCCTTTTCTTTTCTTTTGGAGAGAACAGCAAAGCCCAACCCACCGCCAGCACGCCAATTAGGGACTTTACAGGGTTATTATTGTTAAAGCATTAAATGCCTACACTATTAACTTAAAGCAATTAATATTAATATCATTATTAAAATAAGCATTATAATAGCAATGTATATTTTCACCAACGCTGTTTGCGTCTGGTTAATGTTATCTGCCAGAAGTTTATAATTTTGCCCGAATCCCTGAGGTAAAGTCAATTCAGCCCACCCACGATCAATTATTTGTATTTGATAATTTTCTCCTAAAGTTATTCAAACCTTCGGTATAATTTTATGCATGATGTGAGAATAAAATCCAACTTGTGCCTCAAAAGATAAATAATTTACATTAACTGTGCCCTCTCTTGTATGTAATAGTTTAACAACATCTCAAGAAACTAATCCCCCAACAGCAGTCACCATAATCGCTGCTAATTTTAACGTAAAAGGTAAAGACAAAATTCTTACTTGATATGGAATTAAAAAATAAATAAATACCACCCCCGCCACAATTCTACCATAACACAATCGTTGTAGCGGCCCAACTAAATTATTATACTCTTCATTTATTGGTTGTAAAGTAAATATCCGACTAGCCGAACCAACCCCTATGAATATTAACCGAAAACTATATACAGCTGTAAATCTAGTTGCTACAAGCACAAGACCGATAGCTCAACTATTCATATTTCTAATATTAATCGCTTCAATAATTGGGTCTTTAGAAAAAAACCCCGCTAGAAAGGGGGTTCCTATTAACGCAGCACTACCAATAAATAAACAACTTCTAGTAATAGGCGTAGCAAATAAAAATCCCCCCATTTTACGGATGTCTTGTTCATTTTGCAAGCCATGAATATATCCCCCAGAACATATAAACAGCATAGCTTTAAAAAATGCATGCATGCAGATGTGTAAAAATGCTAACTGAGGCACACCAACACCAACAGCTGTCACTATTAAACCTAATTGACTTGCAGTTGAATACGCAACTACCTTTTTTATATCATTCTGTGCAAGAGCACAAATAGCAGAAAATAATGTAGTCATCGTCCCCAGTAAAAACACCCCCGCCTGAGCATAACTGTTTATTAAAATAATGGGGCTAAACCGGATCAATAAAAACACCCCCGCCACTACTATTGTGCTAGAATGTAGTAAGGACGATACTGGTGTAGGCCCCTCTATAGCAGCGGGTAATCAAGGATGTAAACCTAACTGAGCAGACTTACCCATAGCTGCAAGAACAACACCAACTACAAGAAAAACATTAAACATATCTAATGCATATAAAGAGGTGAAAGTTCAATCAGAGGTATTTATTAGTCTCCAAACAAGTATGATTACAAGTCCAATATCCCCAATACGGTTGTAAAAGATAGCCTGTAGCGCCGCTGTATTCGCGTCACTTCGGGCATACCACCAGCTAATCAACAAATAAGACATAATCCCTACTCCCTCCCAGCCAATTAAGAGTTGGAAAAAACCCTCAGCACTAACCAGTAAAAGTATAGCAATTAAAAATAAACCCAAATATTTACAAAACAAGTCCACTCGGGGGTCTGTGGATATATAATAAAACGAAAAAATTAAGATATTTCAAGTTACGTATAACGCAACTACAAAGAATGAACAAGTGTATATATCATAACGAAAACTGATTGATAATCTATATCCTCCCAGTTTTACTCACTCCCACTTTATTAATAATATTTCATTTTCTTCACTTACTACTATTAATGTTAAAAGAAGTAAATTTATAAACCCACTATATTTAATCGCCTGAGCAAGATTCTCTTTAGTTTTATCAAATAAAAAAATTCCTATAATTAATAAAGACACTAAGCCCAATATACCACATATTCCTACCATCACTCAATTAAAGTCTTCTTTAATCTTCGACCCCTAAAATCGACGTATTATTTATACTAATTGAGTTGACACTATTAAAGAATTGAACTTTAATAAATCATGGTAGCAACATGATTGTAAACCATATAGTATCAGCTAACCGAGTACTATTTTACCCTCCCCTAAGACCACAACTTAGAATTCTAATTAAACTAGATTAACTAAAACATCAGCCCTAAATTAAAAATTAGATACGCTGCAGGAACTAAATGTATTATTAAAAGTAAGTACTCTCGACTAGTTATAACATGTAAATTTTTATAATTTTCCAACACTTCCCCTCACTGAGATATGCCAAACATGTACAAAGAGTAAGCAGCCGTTAAAACTGCCCCCACCCCTATAAAAATAACTCTAAACATGCTTCAATTATATACAGCTACTATAGCCACTAGCTCACCAAAGAGATTAATTGTCGGGGGCAAAGCTAAATTTATCAAACTAGCAATAAATCAACCTGCCCCTATTAGTGGAAACAAAATAATTATTCCCCGCGATCCTAAAAGATTTCGTCTATGTCTACGTTCATATCAGTAATTTGCTAAAGAAAATAAACAAGATGATACTAACCCATGAGCAATTATTAAAATTATTGCCCCGTTGTAACCTCAAGTAGTACCTGTTATGATACCACCAACTACTAAAGCTATATGCCCAACTGATGAGTAAGCAATTAAGGACTTTAAATCCGTTTGCCGCAAGCAAATAGCCCCCATTACTACCATTCCTCATAAAGCAAGGGCAAAAACCACCTCCCCAGACAATAAAGCGCTAGCCCCTCAAGCATAGCTAATTCGTATTAAGCCATAACCCCCTAGTTTAAGTAATACCCCCGCCAAAACTATAGACCCAGCAATTGGTGCCTCCACGTGTGCCTTAGGCAACCAAAGATGACCCCCATACAAAGGCAATTTCACTAAAAATGCTAAAATACACCCTAATCACCAAAGATTAGTAAAATATTCACCCTTATATATCCCCCCCAAAATCAAGTCTAATGATAAACTCCCTATTATTTTATATTGGCCTACAAGACAAATAAGAAGAGGTAATGACCCAACCATTGTATAGAATATAAAATATGTTCCTGCTTGATAACGCTCTTTTTGTGCTCCCCAACGAGTAATCAATATCAATGTAGGCAACAACGTAGACTCAAAAGCAATATAAAATAATAATAGATGGCTTGCTAAAAAAGCCAGCACCAATGCTCTTATTAGAATTACTTGACAAATAATAAAAATACGTTGATACAGCCCAGTATCCTTCGCCATATGTTGTTGGCTTGCAATTAATATCAAAGGCAATAATCAAACTCTTAAAATTACTAATGCAACCGACATAAAATCACTAGTTAGTGCACCGCTGATACCAGAAATAAATATATTCAAATTTAATAAATTTAATACTGGCACAATTATTAACAGACTGCCAAGTTGTGCAATCCGTCATACATTTTTCTGATAACAAATACAAACACTTAATACCAATCCTACATAACCTAAGATCAAATGGTACATTTTAAGACAAATTAAATGACTTCAATAAATCTCTTCCGTGACTCCGAGAGATTAAAACTAGTAAAGCTAAGCCTGAACTTGCCTCACAAGCACTAAATGTTAACAACACTAAAGCAACTATTAAAGAATAATTTAAACCGGAAAGAGATATTAGTCCCAACCCCAAATAGAGTGCTACTATTATTATTTCTAAACATAATAAAACCGATAATAAGTGCGTTTGTGTTAGTCTTAAACCCAAAAGAGCGATACAAAAAACTAAAGCTATAATTAACACAACAAAACAGAATCATCAATGATAACTTATGGGCCGAAACCAAATGTTTTTATAAACTACCTGTTTTATTCTATTCACTCTAAACCCCCTTTTAATCATTCATACATTAAACCGAAAGTTAAAACAATAATTAATAGTATAACCAACCAATAATTAAAAAAAATATGATTACTATAAAGCAAACCTATAGGGTATGGCAAAATTAAGGCAATTTCTAAATCAAATAATAAAAATAAAATCGCAACTAAAAAGAACCGAAGTGAAAAAGGTAGTCGAGCACTTCCTATGGGGTCAAATCCACATTCATAAGCCGAAAGCTTTTCGTTGTCAGGATAAATGCTCGGCAAGCCTAACCCTACTAATAATAATAAAAAAACTAAAGCACTTGCAATACCAACAAGGTAGCTTAATGATAACATTTAGGACCCTCACCAATAAATACAAACATACAAGAATAATCATACCACATCTACAAAATGCCAGTATCAAGCTGCTGCTTCAAAACCAAAATGATGTGAAGATGTATAATGATATACCACCTGCCGCCCTAAACACACAATTAAGAATGTGGACCCGATAATTACATGCAATCCATGAAACCCCGTTGCTACAAAAAATGTAGACCCATAAACACCATCAGCAATAGTAAACGGCGCCTCATAATATTCCCACGCCTGAAGAGCAGTAAAATATAACCCCAGTATTACAGTAAACATTAATGCTTGAATTGCCTCCATACGTTTTCCCTCTATCAAAGCATGATGTGCTCACGTTACAGTTACCCCTGATCTCAGTAGTACTGCGGTGTTTAATAGTGGCACAGCAAATGCATTTAAAGGGTGAATCCCAACTGGAGGTCAAGTTACACCTAACTCGACAGTTGGCGCTAAACTACTATGAAAAAATGCCCAAAAGAACGCAAGGAAAAAAAAGACTTCAGAAATAATAAATAACACTATTCCCCGCCGTAGCCCGGCGAGTACATAAGACGTATGACAACCTTGAAACGTTGCTTCACGAATTACATCTCGCCATCACTGAACTATAGTAACTACTACTAACATAAGCCCTAAGACTAGAAGTACAGTAGAATTATAATGAAATCATATAACTAACCCAACTGTTAATGTAAACGCCGCCGAGCCTCCTACTAAAGGCCAGGGACTTGGTTCTACTAAATGTCATGGGTGTACTTGATAACCTGCCATTAAAGATTTTCATCTAGATATAATGTTACCAAAATTGCAAAAACATAACCTTGAATCAAAGCCACTGCAATTTCTAACATTGTTAAAAATACAAGCAATACCAAAGTAATAACACTTAACACTCCTGACAACTCTATCAGTCCTAAGACTGCTGAAGAAATTAAATGCATTAATAAGTGCCCAGCTGTTAAATTTGCTGTTAACCGTAACCCTAAGGCTAAAGGGCGCATAAAAATTCTTAATGTTTCCACGACCACTAATACAGGGATTAGTAAATTAGGCGCCCCCTCTGGACATAAATGTGCAAGAGCAATAGTAGGATGATTACGAAAACCATAAATTACCGTTCCCAACCATAATGGCACAGCTAATCCTAAATTTATTGATAATTGAGTTGTAGGGGTAAAAGTGTACGGGAACAACCCAATCACATTTAAAGTTATTAATATTAGCATTAAACTAGAAAATAAGACTGCTCAACTAAACCCCTTTTTATTTAGTGGTTGTATAACTTGACCTATTAACGTGTTAGTCAACTGGCTTATTAGTATCTCAGACCGCGTCCCCACTCATCCTGAACCGCTTGTAATAAATAACTTTCAAGGAATTAATATAGCTAGAATAACTAAAGGGATGTTAAATAGTCAAGGCGAATCAAACTGACTAAACAAACTTCCTACCATGGTCATAAATATTCCTTTTGGTCACCTCCCACATTTTCATTATCCATTTCTATAATTGGATTAATAACATTCGTAAACTTATGTAATCCCCAAAAAATCAAAACACCTCACGCCAAAGCAAAAAGAAATACCCAAGGGATTGGGTTTAATTGTGGCATCCATTAAAAAGTTATTACTTATCACTAACTTAAAAGATTAGCGCTTTCATTTAAGCTACTTAATGAATCAGAATCTAGTATTCCATCACATCAACTTTCAAAGACATCAACAGGAACAGCTTCAATTACAATAGGTATAAAACTATGATTAGCCCCACAAATTTCAGAACATTGACCATAAAAAGTCCCAACACGGCTACACTGCAGTGCTAATTGATTCAACCGCCCAGGTACAGCATCTATCTTTAAACCTAACGCAGGCACAGTTCAAGCATGAATTACATCAGCAGCAGTCACTAGTACTCGTACAGAAGTATCAACAGGAAGCACAACACGATTATCTACCTCCAATAACCGGGCATCCCCACCCACTAAATCACCAATAGGAAGTATATATGAATCAAATTCAATATCATAATAATCTGTGTACTCATAGCTCCAATACCATTGATGCCCAACACTCTTAATCGTTAATTGTGGGTTATCTAACTCATCCGTTAAATAAAGTAACTTTAAAGAGGGTAATGCAACTACAACTAAAATAATTGCCGGAATTACAGTTCATACCGTCTCGATTACATGCCCATCAGTTAAAAACCGATAAATATATTTAGAAAATATAAGCACTAGTATCCTATAAAAGATCAAACATGTAATTAGAATTAAAACCAACATTACATGGTCATGAAAATAAATTATTTCTTCCATTACGGGCGAAGCCGCATCTATTAATCCTAACTGTGCAGGAGTTGCCATCGAGCTGCCCTAAAATTTTAGGATTTATAATATGACAAACTATAAGTTTGATTAACCTAACACCTCTAAACAAAGGAAATATGGCAGAGTATATGCGATTGGCTTGAAACCAATAGACAAAGGGATAAATTACCTTTTATTTCTAAAATTTCTTAGAAATAAAAGGAAGTTCTTCATGTGTATGAAACAGCGGAGGACACCCTATTAACCACTCAGCAGAATGTGATGTATGACTTGCGGGCACTGCCTTACGTTGCGCAGAAAACCCCTCCCATAAGATAAATAAAAAGAAAATTACTGACCCTAAAGAAATAATAGAACCTAAAGATGAAATTACATTTCAAATTGTGTAAGCATCTGGATAATCTGAATACCGTCGAGGTATTCCTGCTAATCCTAAAAAATGTTGAGGGAAAAAAGTTAAATTTACCCCCGTGAACATAACAAAAAAATGAATTTTAGTTCAGGCTTCCTGTAAAGTAAATCCCGTAAATAAAGGAAACCAATATGTAAATCCCCCCAAAATAGAAAATACTGCCCCTATCGATAAAACATAATGAAAATGAGCAACAACATAATAAGTGTCATGAAGAACAATGTCCAACGAAGAATTAGCTAAAACAATTCCTGTTAACCCTCCCACCGTGAAAAGAAAGATAAACCCTAATGCCCAAAGCAACGGCGTTTCTCATTTTAACTGTTTTGACCCAGCTAGTGTAGCTAACCAACTAAACACTTTAATTCCTGTTGGTACAGCAATTACTATCGTAGCAGCTGTAAAATAGCTACGAGTATCCACATCTATCCCTACAGTAAATATATGATGTGCTCAAACTCAAAACCCTAATAAACCAATTGTGAATATTGCTCACGTCATTCCTAAATAACCAAATGACCGTAACTTCCCTGCATAATGAATGATAATATGAGAAATTATACCAAACCCAGGCAAAATCAAAATATATACCTCAGGATGACCAAAAAATCAGAATAGATGCTCATATAAAATTGGATCACCACCACCAGAAGGGTCAAAAAAAGTCGTATTAATATTACGATCTGTTAATAGCATAGTAATTGCCCCAGCAAGAACAGGTAAAGATAAAAGTAGTAAATAAGCAGTCACCCAAATAGATCATACAAACAATGGGACACGATTCCACTCAATTCTAGCACGCATATTATGGATCGTCGTAATAAAATTGATTGCCCCCAAAATTGATGATACCCCTGCCAAATGCAAAGAAAAAATAGCCAAATCTACTGACGCCCCTGCATGAGCAATATTACTTGATAAGGGGGGATAGACAGTTCATCCTGTTCCTACCCCTGCCTCAACAGCAGATGAAGCCAACAGTAAAGAAAAAGACGGTGGTAATATTCAAAAACTTATATTATTTATACGAGGAAAAGCTATATCTGGAGCCCCAATTATTATAGGCACCAACCAATTTCCAAACCCCCCAATCATAACAGGCATTACTATAAAAAAAATTATTACAAATGCATGCGCTGTAACAATTACATTATACAAATGATCATCACCCAAAAGTGCACCTGGCTGCGAAAGTTCTGCCCGAATCAATAAGCTCATAGCTGTTCCAACTATAGCAGCCCAAGCACCAAAAATAAAGTACAAAGTTCCAATATCTTTATGATTAGTAGAAAATAACCACCGAGTAGCGTACATAATTAGTAAAATGGCCGATCAAAAGCGATAGATTGTAGCTCTATTTATGGGATTATATCTCTTTTACTAGGCTTTACCAAAATTTTGGTTGCAACCCAAAAAATAAAAGCTTTAGCTTTTTAAAGCCTAAAATCTTAAGTTAATTAAACTATTTGACTTGCACTCAAACAATGTGGATTCCTCAGATTTTAAGGATTGGATTACCCTCCACTGTCAGCTTTGAAGGCTAAAGGTCTCTGATTTAACCTAACTCCTTTAAATAGTAGCTTATAATATTCTTTTAAAGCATTGGACTGTTAATCCAAAGATGCAAGTATTGCCTATTTAGATAATGAGCTAATGCCTCCTACCAATAGCAATCCTAACAAGTTTAACACTACTAACCCCCCTAACAAACTACCCATAAATCCTTTTCGTCAGCTTAATCTTACCATAATCTGCTGTGGCCCTAAAATTACCATGCATATATATCTTACTCGTAAATAATAGAATAAACTAACTAAAGCCCCGACTACTAACGCTACTGCACCCCCCACCAGAAAATTATTAAGTAATCAAGTTAGCACTAACCACTTACCAAAAAATCCTATAAAAGGGGGTAACCCCGCTAATGACAAAAACCCCACTCCAACAACTATAGCAGCAACAGGATTTCTTACTAATCTTGCTCGCACTTGATTTAAATGAGTATTATTTAAAATATATAAAAACACAAATACAGGAATTGAAAGCACTACATATAAGATAAAATATATTCTACCCAATATTGTCCCCACGACACACCCAGACACCAATCACCCTAAATGGGCAATTGAAGAGAACGCTAGTAATTTCCGCATTTGTGTCTGGCCCAAACCTCCTAACCCACCCCAAAAAGCAGATAATGCCCCAAAGATGAGCAAAATAAGCCCATTCTGTATTGATACTAATTGGACTAAAACCATTAAACCCGGTACTTTCTGTCATGTTAACAAGACCATTCCGGGCAAGTAATTTAGACCTTGAACTACATCCACCACCCAGTAATGAAATGGCACTAGCCCCAGCTTTATAATAATAGAAAATATAATCAAGACCTCACCAAAATTCCCTACAAACTGACTTAACCCACTAATATATTCAGTACTTGTTATTACTAACCCCCCAAAAAAAAACACTGCAGCCGCTATCGCCTGAATAATGAAGTACTTTACAGTTGCTTCAACCTCCAGCGACGAATGCCACCAAGCTAATATAGGGATAAATGCTAATGTACCTAACTCTAACCCTAGCCATACAAAAACTCAATGAGTAGAAGATGAAATAAGTAAGACTCTTCTACCTATTGCAAGACCAAACAATGGGGAAATATAGGGACTCATATGAGAAATAGTGTAAGTAACACATTAGATTTTGAGTCTACTAATGCCAGTGCAAATCTTGCTTTCTCATGGTAGAGGATGGATTTACCAACACTGTTGGGGTATGGGCCCAATAGCCTAATTAGCTTACTCTAACTAAAAATGACACCGCTGCATTTCTGCCCTATCAAAGCAGGGTTTTAATTTAAACTACATTTTTCTATATATTTCCCCCGACTCCCGAAAAAATCAAAGGTAGTCTGAAGTTTAATATTAACAACCCAAGACTTATAGGTAAAAATCTTTTTCAAGCCAAATGTATTAACTGGTCATACCGAAACCGGGGGTATGAAGCCCGAAACCAAACGTATAACCCAGCCAAAATACCAACCTTAAACGATATATCTAATAAAGTAAAATGAGCTGATAAGAAAAGAACAACGGAAAGAGCGTTTATAAACAAAATGTTAGCATACTCAGCCAAAAAGAATAATGCAAACGGGCCCCCCGAATACTCTACATTAAAACCTGATACTAGCTCAGACTCCCCCTCTGTTAAATCAAATGGCGATCGGTTTGTTTCAGCAACAGTAGACACAAACCATATAATGCCTAGAGGTCAACAACTAAGTAACAAAACTGTATCTTCCTGCGCACAAGAAAACTGACTTAAATTGAAACCCCCAACCAGGCAAACTAAACTTAAAATAATTAATCCTAAACTTACTTCATAAGAGACCATCTGGGCGACAGCTCGCAAGGCCCCTAATAAAGCGTACTTTGAATTAGAGGATCATCCAGAAGCTATAATAGAGTACACCGATAAACTTGAGATTGCTAGAACAAATAAAACAGCAAAATTCAACTCAATAAAAGCATCTATAATTGGTACCGGTATCCAAAGCAAAAAAGCTAAAATTAAAGCTAACATCGGGGCAAAGAAAAAAACCCATGGATTTGATGAGGCCGGCTTGATTGGCTCTTTGATAAATAGCTTCACCCCATCTGCAATTGGTTGTAAAAGCCCATACGGTCCAACAACATTAGGCCCTTTTCGCAACTGAACATAACCAATAATCTTACGTTCTGTTAAAGTTAAAAATGCAACGGCTAATAAAACAGGAATAAAATATAAAAACGCATGTAAAACACTTAAATAAAACACCACTAAAAATAGGACTTGCACCTATGACGGAAGGGCTTAGGCCTTATGCAATACTACTTTGCTATTTTAGTTATAATTTAGTAAAAACTTAAAATTACATGCCATTGGTCCTTTCGTACTAAATGCATAAACCTAAGGATAGAATCTAACCTGTCTTACGACGGTCTGAACTCAGATCACGTAAGATATTAATCGCCGAACAGGCAAACCCGTAACAGCTGCTACACCGCTAGGAATCTTGATCCAACATCGAGGTCGCAAACTCCTTTGTCAATTCGAGCTCTCAAAAAGAATTACGCTGTTATCCCTGTGGTAACTTATTCTTTTAATCGTTCTATTTTTAACGGATCAATTTAATTATTTATAGATACATATTATCTAGAAATACAAAATGTATACTACAACAAAGCTTAATATCTTTGCTTGCCACCCCAGCCAAAAAGCCTACAAAAAATTACTCGTTTTAATTGTAAATTATTACTTAACTTAACCTGTACTATAGTTTAGCTTAAAAGCTCAACAGGGTCTTCTCGTCCTTTATTACCTCACCCGCATTTTCACAAGTATTGTAATCTCAATTTATAAGGAAGAGACAGTAAAAACCTCGTCTAATCATTCATACATTCCCCCATTTAAAGGGCAAGTGATTATGCTACCTTTGCACAGTCAGAATACCGCGGCCGTTAATTAATTACACTGGGCAGACCAGACCTCCAATATTGAATCTGAAGGCGATGTTTTTGTTAAACAGGCGAGCTTAAGATTTGCCGAGTTCCTATTCCCTAATTAATTTACTTAACCACACTCTCATGTCAGATTAACTCTTATAGTCCTACTTTCTTGTATATACCTATCAAGCATAAAATTTACCTCGTGTCTAAGTTTTTCTCTATCTACGCATTTTAACATAAGATCCTCTACAAGAGTTATTTACTACCATACTAAAATAATAATTAAATTGTGTTATCAAGCTATAACGCTTTCTACATAAGATGGCTGCTTTTAAGCCCACTAACAACTATTTATCTACTTATATATAGAAGATATTTGTTTACATTTTGACACATCAGCATATTCCGATATGACGCACTTTATACTTAACTATAAAACTGAACTCCTATCCATTTCATAAATAACCAGCTAGAACTAAACACGATTAGCATGTCACCTCTATCCTAACTTTATCTAATTATATTGCAACATAAATTAGTTAAGTCAACTCTACTAAAACTAGAATAGATCGTTTAGTTTCGGGTTAACTAACATGCATTATTGCTAGTACCAAACTAATTAAATCATTATGCAAAAGGAAATAGGAATTACCTTATTAGTCTAATTAACTAGTTACATTTATTTCACTTAGTCCTTTTCAGTACTTAAAATTCTTCATCGATCACACCTACACCTAAATTAAAGTTTTTCATTTCCGATTCTACACCACAAACTAAGTTATTTCAAACTAATTTGATTCACAAATATCTTTTCCGTGTAAAAGAAACGCTTATGTCAAGCTCTAGTTCGCCTGGCAGAAAAACATATTTACCGTTTACATTTACCTTTTCAAGGTAATAGTCTAATTAACTTATACATGCCTGATTTACCAGGGAGTCCTTCCAGACGCCCTACCTTGTTACGACTTTTTTCCTTTATCGCTTCAGGAAAATGACGGGCGGTGTGTGCATACTTAAGCGCTACAATCAATTATTCACTATAATAACAATTTACTACCAAATCCAACTTAAGTTAATAATTACATATATAACTCCCGATAATATTAAATAATTGTAATTCATTCTTACCTCTAACATTAGCTACACCCTGACCTGACGTTAAGAATTTACTCTTTTAGCCAATTCCTATTCTTTCATAACATTGGCTGACGACGGCGGTATATAAGCTGTATTACAAATTAAAGTGAGATCCTCGCGGATTATCGAATTAACAGAACAAACTCCTCTGGGCAGACCTTAACCACTGCCAAAATCTTTGGTTTTCAAACATAATTTATACTAACCACATATTAACTAATAAAGTATAGCAGGGTCTCTAATCCTGGTTTATTCCTTTATTCCGTGTAACTACTTCTATTCAAGCCCCCTAAAGAGAAAGTATACGACCACACCTCTGTAAATGCCTTAAAAATCATTAACTAAATTACATCTTAAAATGTTATAAGACTATGTTCAGGTGTAACCGCGGCGGCTGGCACAATCTTTGCCACATACTAAAAACTTATGCTGATGCATGCTTACACATCCTACCAATACTAAGTACTGCTATAACCTTTATGGAGTGGATAAATCAAAGCAAACGATCAATCTTATGCTTAAACACATATATAATTTATAATTATTATACATTCACTTCCTCACTAGCCCACACGGTTAGCATGTATCATCAAAAATCAACCTATAACAGAAACCAGAATCAAATCTGCTACAGAAAATAGTTTAAGCTAAAACCTAAACTTTGGGAGTTTAAAATGATAATTTTATCTTTTCTGAGTTTTAGAATACTATTATTATCTTCGACTTACAAGACCGATGCTTTCCTTTTAAGCTACGTAAAACAATTAAATATTAATTTATTTTCAACATACCCGACGATAGGCACCAATAAAAGGATTCTAGTAAAATAAACTACAGACGCCACTTGACCTAGAAAAATATATGGGTATTCTACAGGCTGCCCCCCAAGCCAAGTTAATAAGATTACATTCACAACTATTAATCAAAAAACTATTTGGGACAAAGGCCGGAATGCATGGCTTGCTTGCCGACTTGAGTGAACAAAAGGCATGAAGAATAAAACAAAAATAGATATAGCCAAAGCTACAACCCCCCCCAACTTATTTGGAATAGACCGTAAAATTGCGTATGCAAACAAGAAGTATCATTCTGGCTGAATATGAACAGGCGTAACTAAAGGATTAGCAGGGATATAATTCTCCGGGTCAGTTAGAAGATTAGGAGAAAACAACACAACAAATATTAACCCGGTTAATATTAAGATAAACCCCACCACGTCTTTGTAAGAAAAATAAGTATGAAATGGTACTTTATCAATATCCCCAACAAGACCTGTCGGATTATTGGCCCCTGTTTGATGTAAAAATAATAAATGTACAATAGCTAATCCAGCAATCATAAAAGGCAAGAAAAAGTGAAATGCAAAAAATCGAGTTAGTGTTGCATTATCAACAGAAAAACCCCCCCATAATCATTGTACTAACTCAGACCCTAAATAAGGGATCGCAGAAGCCAAATTAGTGATTACCGTAGCTCCCCAAAAAGACATTTGACCCCAAGGCAAGACATACCCTAAAAAAGCAGTACCTATTGTTAAGAGTAAAAGCACAACACCGATATTTCAAGTCTCTATATAAAAATAGGACCCGTAATACAAACCTCGTCCAATATGCAAGTACAAACAAATAAATATAAACGAAGCTCCATTAGCATGGAGGTTACGCAATAGCCACCCATAATTTACATCCCGACAAATATGCGCGACAGAAGAAAAAGCCAAATTTACATCCGCCGTATAATGTATAGCCAAAAACAAGCCTGTTAAAATTTGACTAATTAAGCAAAGCCCTAATAAAGAACCAAAATTTCATCAAGCAGAAATATTACTCGGGACTGGTAAATCAATAAGAGAATGATTAACCACCTTCAATAACGGATGATGTTTCCGCAATGGACTAAACAT